ATTACAGTTTTTTATGAAATAAGTTATCGTATTTTTTTCTATTTTTTATTTCTATTAATCAAAGCATCCCGCGCAAACGATGCATCTTTGCCAACGCAGAGGCAGTTTATTGATGCCCTTCTTGAAGAAATCAGCTAGAAAGGAGGCAACAAATTCTTAAAAGGCATTTTGTATTGCCTCTCTGGTATTGAATTTTTTTCAAAAATAGAAGTCTGTAGGTGCCAACTGGTGAGTACGGCGGATGGCGGAGAACTTCCAATCCCAGCTCTTGTACTTGCAGACCGTCTGTTGTGCACTATGAGGTCGCGCATTGTCGTGCAGGAGCGGCGGGGAAAAGCCATTGACCAAAGCTGGTTGGAGGCATCTGCAATAATGCATTATCACATTTGCCCACACTGGCGCTAGACCACCAAACAGTGACCATAACTTTTCTAGGGGTAAGTTTTCGTTTAGGGCATTGTTTAGGTGCTGGAACCACGAACCAGGATCGAACTAACTTGCTGAGTGCTTGTGACTGTCAAAAAGAATACATTTTTGTCGCAGGTAACAATGTGGTTCAAAATCTCTTCGTTTGTGTGCCTGTTGAGCAGTGCAAGGCGTGTCTCCCTACCCATACTTCAGAATATTTATCATAACTTTTGATGGAATGAACTGATTTTAATGAAATAAAGACTAAATGTAACCCGAAGATACACTTTATAATTTCTTTGACAATTCTTATGATTTAAATTAGTACTTTATACGTGATACGTTAACAAACAAACAGACAGACAGACAGACAGACAAACAGAAAATTCTAAAAATGGTAGAAATGTATTTAATTACTTCTTTTTAGTACCCTTCAATCACTTTTATTACAAAAATATAAAATGTACAGACATCTGCTATTTACAGTTTAATTATATGTATAGATTACATACATTACTCGAATTTTTAACGTATCCATGATGACGTAAAATATTCAAATGCGATGAAAATATAACGCTAATCAATAAACAAATGACTAATTAAAAAAATCCATGTTTTTAAAATAAAATTAATTTGAAATTAGAATTCTTAGCCAAACAAACAAAAATTATTTTGATTTGAAATGGCCAGTACTGCAGAACAGTAATTTCATAGGTAAAGTGCTATTATTAATTATTTATTAAATGTTAAATAAATTGTTGCTATTTAAATCTTAACATCTTCGTTAGAAAATAATCAGATGATCCAGCATCATTCATCCACTACTATCAAAAGTCGCACTGTTGAACATAGGCTTCTTTCATAGATGGATAAGATATTTGCTACAGTCGCCACGCTTAGCAAGCGGTTTGACAACTGCAGTTTTTTTATTACTTTGAATTATTGGAAAGATGTTGCTGCCAATCTCTTTTATTTCCCTCTGTCACCTTTTACGAAACGCATGGAATGATATGGGGTTATGGATTCTCGCCGCCACTAAACGGCGCAGCATTTTGATATCTCATAGTCAAACTAATTGCGAAACGCACTGCATAAAATACGTATACATTTTTGGCTTTTTGGCATTTATGATATGATTATATGTCTTACTCATTCAAATTTCAAGTAAACCTTCAAGTTTAATATTAATTTGCTTCACAAATATTGCTTAGTATAGTATATAGTAGACAGAGCTATGGACTACCATTGAACACAATTCTGATACACCTCTCTAGCTTCTTTCACTTTTTCTACATGCTCGATGGTTAATGTCCTTTTAAAAGTTTCCGGAAATATTTTGAAGTTTAATATTCTTTCACTTATTGCACAAATATTGCTTAATGTTGAAATTCAAAACATGATTGTATAAGGTTGTATAAATAAACACAACATATAGCTTAACAATTGATAATAAGAGGGATAGATAGAGCTATGGACTACCATTTGGTACGATTCTGATATTCCTCTCTCGCTTCTTTTATATCCATATATCTACGAATACATGCTCGTTGGTTAAGGGTACTCTTAAATTAAAGTTACAGTCTATATGCGTTCCACTGCTGGTCACAGGCCTCCTCTCATTTCTGAGAGGATTTTAGGGCAAGGAAATGTCCGCCGCGCTGCCCCAATACGTGTTGGCAAACTTCACACGTCTTCGAAATATTTTTTTCTTATTTCTCAGACATTTTTTTTTATAGTATAGGGTAACAAACGAGCACACAGTCCACCTGATGGTAAGTGGTTGCTGTGCCCATAGACATCTACATCTATCCTCGTTTGCGAATCAAAATGCAGATGCGTTGTCACCCGTGAGGACTAAGATAGAATGCCTCTTCTCCAGTAAAAAGGGTCTCCGGTTCTCTACACTTACCATACAAAACACAGCAGCAAGCTGCTATTTGACGCTGGTATTCTGTGAGAGCGTGGTCCTTCCTCGGTCGAGCCGACCCATTCGTGCTACAACTATACTACTAATATAGCTGCAGCATGGCTCTACCACGTAAAGGTTTCCTTGTCTTCCTTGACTTTCCTTGACTTGACATGCAGGTTTCCTCACGATGTTTTCCTTCATCGCCGAGCACGTGTAAATCAACACTTAAAATTGCAATTAACAATTTCATTGGTGCCGACGGGGATTGAACCCGGGTTGCTCGCGTACTGTGAAACTTACAGCGAGCGCTAACCATCTGAGCTACCACTGCTCTCTCTTAACTTGGCCCAACTTTAATATATCGCCAATTTCGTTAATAAACTTCGGTTTAGACTTTAGACTAGAGATGTCTAGACTTGTCGACTTTACTAACTTCTGCAGCATACACTTGCTTTGTCACTTTTTTCTCATACATTCTTTGTACGTGTCAAAACCATCGAACATTTCTTTTTTAATCCTGGTCACAACATCTTGCTAACCACAAAGGTCATATTTCACGAATAAAAGCCATGTCTTATTTAGACACATCTTTCGATTTCCAAAATCTAAATCTAAAAGTATTTCACAGAGTAATAAGAAGAAAATTCTTGTATATTTTATAATAGCTTCGCCACACTATGCTCATCGCGCTGCTCCTCGCGCTGCTGCGATGTTGCCCTCTCTGCCCACACACTGCTCTATTCGCGCAATTAATCGCGACGCTTCGCACTAGGTTGCTTGCGTTTGCAACACAATGGATGTTGAAACTATGGCATACATATGCATATTTAGTATAGCTAATTATATAAATTTCATGAAAAGAAATTTACGTGGTCATCCTCGCCAACAGAGATGGTGGATGACATCTATTCATCGCAATAGAACGACGCTTCCGTAACGATCGATTCGAACTGCGCTCACCTCATATTGCCAGTCCTTTGACTCGCGCCCAAAAAACCGACCATACAGGGAGCGATGGGCATGACGAGGAGCATGACGTGCGGCATGACGAGTATTGTTGCCACACTACGTCTGTGCCTCATTTCCTCGCTACTTCCCATGCCACTCGACGAGTGTGTGGCAGGGGAGTAAAAAATACAGAGATTCCCTAGTGTCATAGAAAGATAATGATCACTAAAAATATAACAAGTGTCTTTTCTGCTAAGCACTAGAGCACGTAGGCAGCTTCTTCATAATAAGAGTGGGTTGTTGAACATTCGTATAACGCTGCAAGGTAACAAACGTGGCCTATAAAATAAGAAACAACTTAGCGTGATTAATCATACCTTGTATTACTTTTTCTTAGAACGATTTGAATAAATTATTTATTAACTAATTAAGTAGCAAAATAAAACTTAATTAATAGTAACTAATTAATTGCAAGTCTAAATTCCGCCTTTAATTTTCGTGATTAAAAGAACTCTTGAGTTCAGGTTCTTTTGGCTTATCAAGATGACTTTTTGGTGGTAGAGCTCTGAATCTGAAGTCAAAAAGTTGTCTTAAAGTGAATAAAACTATTATTACGAGGATTAGGTAATAGAAACACAGAGTGTAAAAATATATCGAAGAGTATATATCTTCTATATATGATCGTGCGATAGATGAGAATTAGATAATATTACGGCTTACGGTAAGCTTATTAACTTCAGTTTCCTCTCAACTTCTGTAATTTAAAAGATCTATGTGGAAAGATACCTACATGTTACTAATGTAATGTTTATTAGTACGCGCGTAAGCGCATGCATGCTTTAGCTCCAAATAGCGGGAAATACATTTATATATGGTGAACACAAATGGCTAATGCAGCTTATAGACGGTCAGTTGCAACTAACTTTAAACAAAGAAGGTTAGAGGTGCGGTGTCTCTTATTTCTTGTTATTTTGAGGGAAGTATGGACAGGCCTGGCGACTTAGCAATCCGCGTTTGGTAGATACTCGTACAGTTCAGAATGAAGAATTTGCTTGAGCTTTTTCCCCTATATTAATCAATTCTCGGGGCTGTATTCTCCAAGATTTTCGGTCATCACTGAAAATCTTATGCTTCGTGATGGGATTCGCTTTCTGGCATACCTTTGACGTATAAAGTCAAATTTATTATATGTATGTATATTTAAAAATTTGAAAATTGTTGTGTGTCAATGGTCTGTGTGAAAATAAAGCTTTTAAATCTTCTTCTTTTTTCTTTTTTTTTTCTTATTCCTGTTCCTTTGAGATCGGAACATAGCAGTGCAAGCACTGCTATTTGGCAGGGTGGTTAGATAGCCAGATGGTCTCCTAAACAAATATTAGGTAGTCCTATTAACTAATAAAACTAAATAATAATGTGTTCTGCGAATGAACTTTTTCTAATTTGAAATAACATATTTGCAGAATACAATGTAAAGACGTTCATGCTGCAAGCAAAATAAAATTGTAATTTCTTACAGAATAATTAGCTTTAAACTCTAAATAATATTAGATAAAGATAAAAAGAAAGACAACTGTTGTAAACTATCTGTAAAAATGACGCACCATATTGACATTGTCAGTTCCCGTTATGTTAGTTATGAATGTCCTGGTTCAGTGTCAAAAATCTCGTGGGAGCGTCTAGAGCTTGATGTGTCTAACAAAAGAAACATTTGCTTAGTGTCGCAGCGTTTAGTTACAATGTGATCCGATAAGTAATTGGATTTTCGTCTAGCCGTTTTGTTGGATTGTTGGAGCTTGGTAGTGTAGAGGCTGAGACAGCGGCTGGCGGGGGCGGCGAACACGGCGCTCTGGCTGTTTCGGCTTCTAGTCGCTCCGGTCGCGATCGTTTGTGTGCACGTCGCGCCTCCGCTCTTGCCGTACGCAACACGCTCTACGATAACGCGCCCTATTTAAATCAAACGTAACGCCGCGCAATCTGCTCCATTCACATCTACGAACTGGCGATTATTGTGACATTAAACATCGACAGTATCGAATAACGATTGTAAGATAGGTCGGTGGAGCGGTCTCGGAACCGGCTTTGTGACCATATGATCCGCATCTGACTGTGCGCCGTGCTCTCAGATATTGATACACAGCTACAAATATACAATGCGGATCAACAACTAAAAAGTGTATATCGCCTTCAAGTGATATAGAGATAATTAAGTTTGAGGTGAAGATATTCCAGTGCTAAGCGATAGTCCTATAAATTGTTCTTTTCGGAGATGTGATCTTTGACATAGTGAAATTGTATATTGGTGGTGTTATCGGGATAGTGCGATGGCTGGTGCAAGTGAGGAAGGTGTGGCTGTGGAGGAGAATGTACCTCCAGCAGTCGAGGAAGGCCGCAAACGTGGATTAAGCGGGTCAATGTCACTTAGGACTCGCAAACTTGGAAGGCGTCTATCGCGCAGCATGTCTATAGTTGCGCTGAAGTTGCCTGAGAAGGCGCAAAGTATTACTCGCTCCTCTTCGAAGCTTATGAGATCTGGTAGTCGCGACAAGAAGAACAGATCCTTTGAACTTTCCATCATACTTCCTGACAAGACGCAGAAACAGGTAATTTTTTTTAAATATATTAATTGATTATACAACAGTTGTAATTATGTCGTCTATATTTATACTTTCAGTACAATGGTAATACAAAAAACTCTTTGAACTTGGTTATGGTTAAAAATTTCAAAATGCCGGGTTAACAGAATTATTTGGTTTCTAACTCCATATCATTATTTGATTCTAACTCTTCTAAATCTTTGATTGTAAACATGTCATTTAACAAAGCCTATATTATAATCGCCAATTCAAAACCAAAATTAATATAGTTCATTGTCATTATAATAGTTCTACATGGAATATTAATTTTGAAATATGCAATGTTTTAACATTTTTACAAGTTTTTACGAGGCATTACAAGTTCGTTGTTTTTTTAGAGGATTACAATTTAGGTATTCAATGCATGTTGAAGGTTTCATTGCGCTAAGTCGATACACGCGTGCGGAGTCATATGGCGTGCATGCAAATGCTTTCTTTGGCTACCCATACCCATTGCAATTTCGTTGTCGGGACGTTTCTCTACTACGTCACGCCGCCCACACCACGGATTTCTCCATTGATATAATAATGAGTTGCAATTGCCTCCGTTCAAATCCGTCGTTAGGCATTGTTTACTTTTGTCATTGAACCGGGGAATTGCGCGCACTTTATGGCTCGATTGTTTGACTACCGGCCGGCTGCCAACAGTGTAACTGTTATCAATCGTTTGAAACTGCGCTTGCAATGTAATCTTCTTCTATTATAGCGGCAACGTCTATTTTCTCTTCTGTTTTAATCTATACAACTGTGTTGTTCAAATTTTAAAATTTACTTGTGAGATGAACATGTCGCTAAATTAACCTTATTTTAATTATTAAATAAATTTATTTTTTAGTTATTAAATAAATTTTGCACTATATTAGTATTGTTTTTACAAATCTAATCATTTAGATGAGATTTTAAAAACTGTCAGATACCTACGCCATTACCTAATAATATAATGAATAGTTAGCGTCACACTTTGTGAATAAAGGTCAGGGCCATGCTAAGTAATTAAGTAGTGTTTATTTTTATAATGTAATACTTCCTTAAAAACTTAAAGAAGGTGATACTTAATATGGACTGGAGTATAATTCAGCTGGAAGTTTGACTTGCATGAACCGTAATAAAACATATTAAAATACTAGTTTTTAAATATATATCATAATTGCATCAGAGTAAAAAACTTGTACTGTAATTTGTTTTTTTTAAATATTGTTTTTACTTTGTAATATAATAATAAAAGTTACAGTCTATTATATACGTCCCGCTCCAGAATATAGGGCTCTTCACATTTCTGAAAAGGTTTTAGACCAAGGCGCTGTCCCAATGCGTGTTGGCGATCTTCACATGTTTTCGAAAAATTTGTCTTTGATTTTTCCGACATGCAGGTCTTAATATTCGGTCACGAATGTCTTCTTTTACCGCTGAATACATGGTAAATCTACAGCGAGCGCTTACCTAATAGCTAATGTACAGCGAGCGCTTAGCGCCTGTACATTAAAACAAACTTATAATAACTATCATAAAAATGATTGGTTGTGCCGAATGATGGCGGAAAATTCATCCGTAATCGTTGTACCCAATGATATACTGATAGTGAGTTGGTGAGTAGAATTACTTATGCGAGGGTATTGGCTCTGTACTCACCGTAGTGAACATGGACATATTTTCCAAGTAGGTAATGCTTGCTAGCGGCGTATACTTAGAAGGTCTGTGTCCAATAATCATATTTATGTCCAATTATATTATTTACGTGTTTTTTTCAACGATAAAATAGCTGTAGCGTTGCTCTACCTAATTAAATGGAGCCCAGCTGCAGCTATATCATTTTTGCAGCAAAAATGGGTTGTCTCGACCGTGGAAGGACAAGCCTCTCACAGAATACCAGCGTTAAACAGTAGTTTAATGTTGTTGTGTTTTGTGTGGTGAATGTAGAGAACTGGTGACCCTTTTAACTGGCAACGAGACATTTTACCTTAGTCCTCAAGTGTGAAAACGCATTTACATTTTGATTCTTAGTCAAGGATATATGTAGATGTTTATGAGCCATTTACTATCAGTTGGGTTGTGTGCTGTTGGTATCTTTATTATATAAAAAATATGATCATTGTACGTATCTTCTTCTTCTTTTTTTATCGGTCCGCAAATATCCACTACAGGAACTCTCCTATTGCATAAAGTATTTGCCCTAATCGACAACATTGTCTTGTACTTTTGTATGCAGCCTCACGTCATCAGTCTGGGTATTTAATATCAGACTGACGCTAGGTAGTGGTCCACAATTTATCGAAGGTTTCTGGTGTTGCCCGAAGTAGTCTCCTACGACAACCATGGGATAAAAATGGGAAGGGTTTGGTTTTATTAGTTACGTCATCACACGCTAAATTTGTATTATATTACTCAAATAATAATTAGGTGATAGGCGTCAATAAATTAAAAGGGATATACTTGCAAAAAATACACCATGCGAAATTGTAAAAATTAACGTCATGCTTTGTGGCAATTCTACACTTATTTAAGTGGAATCTTGAGCGAAGTTGTATCCGGATAACGGATGTTGACTGTCTTTCTTATTTCAATGATTAGTTTTAGTGTTACTATACTGAACAGTTTTTAAATATTTGCCACCTGTATACAGAATTAAACAATTTTAAGTAAAATTGCGAAACAGTAGATTATATGAATATTTTTGAAATTATAGCAATATAATTGTTTTTCCGTAACGGCAAATACCCAAGATCAACAAGCGGTAATACGTAATGCCATTTAAATTGATGCTTTTTGAGTTTAGAATCTAATTTGTGATTAAAATTGCTTTTTGTTTGCTAACAATGAACTTAATAGTTTCGACTACTTGGCGGAATTGTCAACTCGTAGCGATTTTGATAAAAACAATTTCAAATGCATATTATACCTACGAATAATTATACTTTAAAATGGTTAAAGTCATAAGTATATCTAAAGTTAAGTGTGAAAGCGGAATGTTTGTTGTATCCCAAATAAGGCTAATACCGCTAAGCGACTATAAATTGAATTATTATTTAATAAGTCCCTTAAATCTGGGTATGATGTCAGTTATACCATATATTATTATATGGTCATAAGAATACTTAAGATTATTGCATTATTTCATTATTATCTTTTTTTTAAAGAAATAAGTGTTATTTGTGCGAGAAGGGACAAGATTTAAAGACAATAAGGAAGAACGCCCACGAAATGCACATCACGTCTGATGATAATCGCAGAAGCATAAAGCCAGGAAATGGCGCATAAAGGACCTGAATTGTATGATTTATTAACCTGTCGTTTAGGAAGTAATTCATATTGTAGCAATGAGTGTTTCAATCACAGAACAGAACAGTTTCAATAAATATTGATACAATGAAAACATCATTTGCTTAGACGCTCAATTATGTCCCAAATCTAAAAAATTGTTAAACTCGTGTTGATATTCGGTCGAATCTTTCATCCTCATGACAGTCTATCAAAAGTCCAGTATAGGCATATATTGCCTCATATCCAAGCTTGACATCTATGGCAAATATCCCCCGTATTTGCCCATAGTTACCGCGCATGAAATGTTTTCTTCATTTTGAATTAATTCTCTTTGATTCTTATAAAAAGCTCTAAATTTTTTTTTAATTGATTGTGTTGATGAAACGGTAGTGGCATATTTCAGACACACAATTGCTTGACCTCTAAAAGATGCAATTTCTATTTCTGCCTCGATTTTATTATTTCAACCTCCACAATTTTGTGTTAGGAATATCTATTTTTAATGCAATAAACATACAACCTGAATACGATTTTATATGCAGTTATTAATTAAGACTTCAGATTACCTCTAATATTTAATAAAGTGTAATCTATCAACATATATGTGTAACCCAGATTAATAGTTTACTGTAACCGTGAATTAATTATACGTGATAGATAGGGAAAACTATATGAATTTACAATGTTTGGCAATTAACGAGAACTTGCTATGCGTTGGATATCTAATTAGTTTACATGAGTAACTTTTGTATGTGAATAACTTAGGTGTGCCTTTTATAAATTAGAAAACTTCGGGTGGTCCACCTCAACCTATTGTCACTAAAATTACTTGATACGTGCTTTCGTAGTTTCTGCAAATTTTACAGTACACCTAAGTTTAACCAACCGCAGTCAACAGCACCTAGTTGTAGTCGACTAAACTTAGGTCTAAATCGAAAACGGCTCTAACGATTTGCATAAAATCTACTATTGTGTGGTTTAATGCCTAAAAAACTATATTCTTTCTTCTGACGCCGAGCACAGCGCGGTCGCCCAGGTATTTTTACTTTATGTGTACAGTAACAATAAATCTTTCTATATTTCACTCAATGTACTGTTGTAGTTCATCAATAATTCAGGTATTATTTAAGATGCAGAACTCTGAAAGTGTGATCGACTTCGCAACCATTTCTGAAGTACTATGGCGAAGCGATTGCAAGTGAAAGCGGTGTTGCAATCGGTACTTAGTTAACTTGACGCGTGTGATTGCGCTTGCAGAATTCATCGATGTAGCTGCCTCAATTATATTAGATACATTAAATCAAATCAAAATCGAGAAGTTTTTGTGGGAAAAAAAAGAGAAGTTTGATGCTAAGACACAATGAAATATAAAGTTTTCTGTTGTTATATTGCAGGTTACCAATAGAAGATAAAGAAAGGCTGGTTTAAAGGATAGGACGTTGCAACGTTAGAATAGTACGTGGTAGAGCCATGATACAGCTAATTATGGTTGTAGCACGAATGGGTAAGCTCAACCGGGAAAGGGCCATGCTCACACAGAATACCTGCGTAAAATAGCAGCTTAATGCTGCTTTCGTAAGGAGATTGTAGAAAACTGGAGACCTTTTTTAATCAGTACGAGGCATTCCATCTGAGTCCTCAAAGTTGACAACGCATCTGCATAGTATTGATTATCGAGGATAAATGTAGATGTCTGTAATCCACAATAT